AAAAGAAATTGTTTTTTAAATTTTATGTTTATCTGTACTTTGCACACTCCTCTCTCTCTCACTCGCTCGCTTGCCCTTGCTCTCGCTGTGTGTGTGTGTGTGTGTGTGTTTGTGCCTCTTGTCCTTGGAGGCCAGAAGAGGACATCAGACCTCTTGAGACTGGAGGAACAGATGGTTGTGCTGCCACGTGGGTGCTGGGAATCTAAGAACATTTTCTTCCAGACTGTTTGCAGAGTTTCACTCTGTTTAATCAGAACTGTTGGAGTAGTCTCCACTAGGATGTTCTGGTTGGTGTTTCAGCTCTGGGTTACACCTTGAGGCAGAGTCTCACTGTGCAGCTCTGGTTGCCTGGAACTTACTATGTAGACCAGGTGTGCCTTGAACTTGAACCAATCCTCCTCTTCCTCTTGAGTGTTGACATTACAGGTCTGTGTCATCACACATGGTTGCATTTTCAAATCTTTATCGAGTCTGTAGTTAATTTACTCATGAGGAAATAAGTGGTCATAACAAAAACAATGATGACAATGTGTCCTTGTTGTAATGTTTAGATATTGTGGTTTGTGAATCCAAAGTCAATGTTAACTACATATTTATCAAGCATAGTGAGACATGAGCACCCTGAATAAGCAGAGCTTACCCTTGCAAAGCACTAGCCTAGCGTGCATGAAGCCCTGGCTTCCATCTCAGTGCTGGCCCTCCCAGGGGTCAATAAGGCATTCTGGCAGTATTTATCTGCAGCCTTTAAACAAAGATTCTAGTCTTGGCATTTACCTTAAAACCACACAGCACTATGGTTAAAAGATCAAAAGCATTTGATTTATCCTTTGTAGTAGTTTAGTTAGGTATAGGAGTGGCACAATTCCCCTTTGCAGCACTAATAAAGCACTTCACTGACTATATTTGAATTATTACAAAACAGCAGCTTGGTTTTTGTTTTCTTTTTCTTTCTTTTTTTTAACTCTATATTTCAGGAGGATGGAACAGGGAAGAGAGGAGGGAGGGGCCTACGCTCTGGATGTAATGTGAACATATAAATTAAAACAAAAACAAAAACAAAAAACAAACAACCCTTTTTTTCAAGACAGGGTTTCTCCATGTAGCCTTGGCTATCCTGGAACTTGCTCTGTAGATGAGGCTAACCTTGAACTCACAAAGATCTTCTTCCTCTGCCTTCCCAGTACTTAGATTAAAGGCGTAAGCCACCACCGTCCAGCACGGCAGCTTGCTTTTTAATCTATGCATAGTTGGGAGTTTTGAGGAAGAAAATGTATTCTTTGCTATAAAAAAGAATTGGTGTGAGAATTAGAAACTGTAATAAAGCAGCATGGACTAGCAATGCAAATATATGGCAAATGACCACTTAAAACACTGCTTCTCTACTTAATTGTTTTCTTTTCTTTGCTTCTCCTCCTCCTTTTTTTCATATTAGCTTATCATTTGTGTATATGTATGTGTGTCTGTCTGAGTTTATGTTATGTGTAACACATGCAGGTAGGTGCCCCAGGAAGCCAGAGGGTCTCAGATTGTGAGCGGTTGTGAGATGCCTAACACGGCTGCTACGAATTGGGTCCAGGTCCTCTGAAAGAACTGCAAGGGCTCTTAACCATTGGGCTATGTCTGCAGCCCCATCTTTTCTTTTTCAGTTTTGTGAGACAGGGTCTTCCTGTGCAGCCCTGGTTGGCCTGGAAGTCTGAAGACCAGGCTGGACTCTACCTCCCAAATGCTGGCATTAGAGGTGTGTACCCCAAAACCTTGCTTCTAATTGGTTTCTTTAATTAGCTATTATAGAAAAAAGTGGGTAAAATTTTTCTTATGCACATTTTTAAAAAAGTCCAGGAGGTAATTTTTATTATAAGGAAGAAATGGTTTGCAAGCTAGCAAATGCAAAAGCAAAAATATTTTTTTGATGAAAGGAACAAAGGATGAATTTCCTAAGTTACTTTGTATGTTTCCATGATCACAATTTACCTGTAATTTGTTAAATACTAGTGATTTGAGTTGTGTGTTTTACTACTTTAGGGAAACTAGGTACAAACTTCTGGAGAAAGTGATTTATAAAGCACCCAGTTCTAATTCCCTCTCGCTTTAATGCACCCACAAGCCCAACAGACAGCACTGCATAGAGAGCTACCAGGTCTCCAGTACTGCATTAACTTGGCACTCAGAAAACAGCACTATCGTGTTCTCCTATCCCTGGACAGATGAGATGGTTTGCAGTTTACTCGATGCTCAAGCAATTCTTCTGGGCGCTGAATTGGCTTAAGGTTGCTTAGGCTGAGCAACAGAGACCACAGCATGGGCCTCACTTCCCATATGATCTCCGCTTGTGGCAACTGCTCAGTCATGCCAGAGCATGCCAGCCTGGTGTGTGTGTGCGTGTGAGTGCGCTAGGATTTCTCTCTCTTTTTGCCTCTGAAGTGATGCCTTTCACTGTAATGGCAAGCTCACTCAGGAAGGGGTGGGGGCGGGTTCTGGTTAGGAAGGAAAATGTGGTTCACTTAAATTGGACCTGCCTGGGGTGCAAATGGAGGCTGTATCAATGGCTGCTGTGGTCAACTGTACCTTTTTGTTTCCACTATCGAAAAATAACTGATTTTCAGATGGTTTAGCTATTTTCTGAATCTTAACTGCTTTGAAAAGATTCAAGTGCTTTAAAGAGCCTTGTTTGGTGAGGTGGGGGCCCAGATGAACAAAGCATTGCTATGGGTTCTTTTAAGGGAAATTTATTAGCTAATGAGAAAACTCAGCAAATGGTGTTTGCTCAGTGGCTGTCCCATTACATCAGGAACCCTTCAAGCCTTTGCTGTTTCTTCTGTTCTTTTCCCAGATTATATATTTTAAAAATGGTATGGGTCTTGGAATATAATTTTAAAAATCCTAAATTCAAATCTAACCCTCAAACATATTAAGGAATAAGTTTTAGTCACTAAACTCCGATACTGTTATCAGCTCTAAATTGTACTATTGTCTTCTATAAAGTGAGACTATCCCGCACGCGTGACCCTCTTCGCCTCAAGTGAGGTGAACAATGTAATGGTAAATTCTGTGTAATAATTTATTACTGTTGCTATTAGGCCATCTGACAGAGTACTTAGCAAATGTTCACAGAGTGATTAGTGAAGTGGGATAATTACAGTGTACAAACAGTAAGAGTAGATGAATTAAGAGACCAAACCAACAATAACACGTTCCCTTCGGGATCTTAAGTGTGTGTGGTGCATATCTATGATCTTGGAGTAGGAAGATGATGGCTAAGGAAGGCAGAGACAGGAGGATTAGCCGGTGTGTGCTTGCTTGCTTTTGTTTTCGAGACAGTCCCACTTAGTGTCTTGGGCCTAGATGTTATCCCGTAGCTCAGGTTAGCCTTGAACACATGGCAACCTGTCTGAGTCCAGACAAACTTATTGTGACATCTCATCTCAACAAATAACACTCTCAAAATCAAAATTCACAGATATTAGTAAGTAATGAGTCCCTTGTGAGGGATTTGGTTGACTACCTCACAAACAGCCCAGGTGAGAACACTGCCTCAACTACATCAACAGGTTACATGGTAATTACTTACGGAGAACCTAGGCTCGGCTAGTGGGAGCTACCAAATCACGGGTTGTTAGGGCGGAGTACAAGTGGAAGAAGAGGCTAAGGCTTGCATAGGGTTTTAAGTTGTGTAAACTAGACAGAGCACTCAGTCTTCTCTAAACCTCCATTTCCATATCTCAAAATGGGAGCAACACTCCCCCTCTCAGGACTTTTGTGACGATCAAATGAAGAAGCAGGCAAATCACTTACAGCGTCACTTGCTTAGCCGCCCTCATCTTCATATCACGTGCAAGAGGACGTTCGGTGAGTAGCGCCGGAGCACAAATCACCCCTCCACCACTTGATATAACCTCCAGTCACATAGAGAGCCACTCTTGTCTCTGAAAAGTCTTGCAAACAGGGCTCACTGTGGCCTACATCTTGTGAGGTCCCCACACACCGACATACTGCTTAGGTGAGGTCAGATACGCCTCTTGGAGACAGTGTTTCCCTGAGTCAAATGCCAGCAGATGTCCAAGGTAACAAAATTCTTCACCTTTCACTAACCACTGTTGTAACCTTCTGGAGTTCCTGAGTTATACTTGAGATTTAATTTTCTTTTTTATCTAAGTTGCTCCTCCCTGTTTCACTTTTAGTAACGCTTGCCTTTCTGTTTCCTGTCAATGCTTAGGATGTGCACATGTGCGTGTTTGTTCTTATTTGCCGTCAGAGCGATCTTGCTAACGCAGGAGTTAGGGAAGTTAGAATAATGAGACGTTGAGAGAAATGCCTTCCTACAATAGATATCACCGTCAATGAGGTGGTGGGCAATGAGGCATGCACTTCCTAGCAATCTCCCACTGACCTGAACTAACTGCATTCTAAGGAAATAAAACCTCACCTTTCTTGAGATGACCTGTTAAATGAGTCAAAAAGCCCTAATTCTAAACCTATAAAATTAATCAAAACAATCCAACTGTGCAGCTGTCCTGGCTTCTGTCACAGAGTCGCTAATAATGCAATAAGTTCTGGACCTTGGGCATAAAAGGTATTTCGCTCCTGCTCCCGTCCCCACCCTCCCTGAAAGCCATGCTCAAGCTCACTGTCTGACACAGAGCCCTCTTTCTCTGGGGAGAGGCTGGCCCAGACCCTCTGCATGCGCGGTCCTTCCTGCCACAGCCTTATGCCTGTGCTACCTGCCAGCCAGCAGTGCCCTGGTGTCTGCCCAGCTGCTGCACACTGAACAGATTGAGATTCCAGCCAGAGGAGCAGAGGTTGCTTTAACTGGCTAAAGCTGCTGTGTGCTGCGCGGATGGCCATGAATTTGTAGCCAAAATACTAATTGAGAGAGATTGAGAGAGAGAGAGAGAGACATGTACAGTTAACCACAGAATAAGAATGAAATGCTTGCTCTCCACCCTCGCTCTGTAGCACTGCTTTGAGCCTTCACAATTTACAGCAAGTTTGCAATTCTGTACCTTGGTGGAAGCAGAGTTTTCCCGGTAGACCCCTTGCACCAAGTCCATAAGAGCACTTGCTAAAAGTTCCACAACCTAAAAAGACAAGAGGAAAAAACAAAACAAAACAAAACAAAGCTGAAAGAACAATTCAAAGGTGTAGCTCCATTTAGTTACAACGCAGGATTTGTGTTTGACAGAAAAATCAGAGTTATCTGCAAAGATTCTGGCAAATGGATTGCCCACCTGGATATTAAAGCTGCGATCCAATTTTTTCTTAGTCATAATTCAAGCAAAAAGAAAATCTTACAAGCATAGTATTTCACCAACCTACATGAAAATCCAGTGACAACCATTTTGAACATAACCTTAAATCTCAGATGATGAATGAACTATTAACTCTATTTTCTGCATGTTCATTTCTGTCAAATGGACACCTTTCCAGTACTTCCATTCTGGGAGCCATTACAATGCTAATTTTCATACCTAATACAGAAAGAACACACAACAGTAAGAAAATGGCTCACCTTTCAAATGCATTTGTTCTACTGTACTTAAAATCTACCACAGAACCGGATGTGGCAGTGCACTTTTTACATCATAGTCCCTCCCCACGCAAAGGCGGGCAGATCTCTGTGAGTTCTAGGCCAGCCTGGTTTACACAGCAAATTCCAAAACAGCCAGGACTACATACAAAGACCCTGTCTCAGAAAAACCCAACTGTTGTGGAGTACTCACCAGAGAAGACTGCTGGGACACGGGGTTAAGCCAAAAGAATGTCTTTATTAGCTGACTACTCTGGGTGTTTGGGATCCCAGTGCAGACCCAAGCCTTTCCCAGGGTGAACGTTTAAGCACAAAAACCATGTTCTGGGTTGACATATTTCAGTTAACAAGAAAATTTAGCCAAAAGTGGAACTACAGAAGCCAAAAAAGAAGGTTCGCGCATTCACAGACCTTCCATGAACTATGAATTTGATGGATTAGGCCTCTGTTTTACTTTTGGCAGGTGGTGCTGCCCACATCTTGCCTTCCACAGCCTGAACAGGACTTCCATCACAGAGTCAGTTGAGCTAAGGTCTTGGGGCCTACTAGTCACACCAACAACAGTAGAAAATGTACTATGGACATATTTGGTATAGGGTCCCTGGGTCAAATATACAATAAACACTGAAAATTGTGATAGAATTATTGAAAAAAAAAAACAAGCAAAATCAAAAGCGTTAAGTTTATTTCACGATGTGAAACAAGCAGAAAACAGTAAATGTTCTCTTTGTGATGGCTTACATGAAACATCTTAATTCAAGAGAATAAAGCAGCTAGTTAACTGGCAATGTTCAAGGCAGCCATTTCGAAGGGGAGTTCCCCAAGGCAGCTCATGCTCTCCTTACAGTCTTCACACGTGTTTAGCCCCCTATGTTATGGAGTCTGTCTCTGAGCTCTACTCTTGGTTTCCTAAAGTTTAGTTCAGTTTTGATTGAATTCAAGGATTTTGTTTCATTGCTGTAACTGAAGGACATCAAGGGATACACACTCAAACATGAAGATACTTTAATCTCAGGTATCTTGTATTTAATAAGCTTGTTCTTAAAGGCAAATGACATCGATTTGAAGAAAGACTTACTTTAAAATTTTAACACATGAACATTTACCTCTTTTTACATTCACACTGCAAACTGCTGCTGATATGGAAATTTTACTGATTAAGGGCATATTTTTTTCCTAGATCTGCACAGGAGCTAATTTTGTAAGACCCATAGTTTTTTTTTTTTTCTTCCTTCTTCATATCACATTTTCCTTTAAGTAACTAAATACTTAAGAAATATTGTAGCAATACAGCTACAGAGGAACTGGAAGCACAGTGATACTACAATACTACTAGACGTACTGAGTTATTTAAGTGGGAAAGAGAGAAAAATGAATGGATGTTTTTTTTCCTGAAAGTATCAGATAAGCCCTATTCCAAATCCAGAAGGATTGAATGTCGCCAATAGGTCTATGAAAGACTGAAACCAAATGCACAGAATCAGATTGGATTACAGTTTATACAAGCAACATCCCAAGATCTCCCTGGTGGCTGGACACATAATACAGATCAATCACTCACTCTGAGATGTTATGGTTTTGAAGCAGTCGGGGCTCTGAGACTGGCACTGGTAATGTGAAGAGGGAATTTCAAAGAGAAAGTCCAACGTAAAATGTCAAAATGATGGCGTGAACTTTTAACAGAAGATCTGGTTCTGGATAACCCAGGTTTCCTTTACCCCCTGAAATTCCAGATGGGACAGAAGCAACAAAACATTTGTCCTGACCCTTTTTCTCTTAGTATGTTCACAGTTTATAAATGACCTGTACTTATATATGCCTGTGTTTGAACGCAGATCTCTATAACTGTGGCAACCAGAAAGGAGAAGCAAACAGAGGAAGGGATAGCATGAAGAACAGGAACAGCCTAAAGGAGTTGATTGTGCCATAAGCTAATCCACACAAATAAATGCCTTTCATAGCCTAGAATATTAATTTAAATAATCATATCAAAGAATGATAATTTTCATCCTTCTTTAAAACTGCAAATATTTATACAGAACTCCTTTATAATGCAGTAAATTCATTTAACATTTGTTTGTTTGTTTTCTTATTTTATTTTTTTGAGACAGAGGCAGCGCTGGCTAGAACTCGGTATATAGGCTAGGCTGGTCTTGAACTTACAGATCTGACTGCCTCTGCCTTTGGAGTGCTGAAATTATAGGCATGCCTGGCTCAGACTCTTTCAAACATATATATTTACGTGTATGTGTGTATATCTGCTTGTTTGTATGTGCCCCACATACTTACAGGTGTCCCTGGAGGATAGAAGAGGGTCCCCTGTGACTGTTGTTACAAGCAGCTCAGAGCTGCCTCGTGTAGGTGCTGGGAACCGAATCTAGATGCTCTACAAGAACAGCAAATGCTCTTAACCACTGGGCCATGTCTCCCGCCCCAACTTAACACTCTCCAACTGCAACATAAGCACTGTGTGTATGTGTATGTGTGTGATTTAATATGTAATTTGATAAGGGAGTTGTAATTTTATAAGTGGTTGTCTGTACATAATTGAAAAAACTTTAAGAGCTAGTAAAGACAACAGCACCCAGAGCACAGTCTAGGACCTAAAAGCCAAACCTCCTGACACTTTGTCGCCAGGCTGCCTGGTGCGCTAGACAAGAATAAAATTCAAGGTCTTTGTTCTTCAGGCCAAGGGGAAAGCAGAGTATCTCAACTAGAAGCGTGATGGAAAGGCAAATGCAAGAGAATAAAGCAGATACCAAGAATGAGAGGATCTTCATGCTGTTTCGGGGCTTGCTACACATTTCTGCTATGAGACTTGAAGTGGATCAATTCTGAGTTCTGTTTCCTTCAAATATAAGATGAAGGCAGGTTCCAAAATTGGTTTGTTAAGGTTCTCTGTGGCTCAAAATTTCTATTAGTAATACAAATCTCAGCCAGACATGGTGGTACACACCTTTAATCCCAGCACTTGGGAGGCAGAGGGTTCAAGGCCAGCCTGGTCTACAGATGGAGTTCCAGAAAAACCCTACACAAGGTTTCTACACAGAGAAAACCTGTCTCAAAACAAAACCAAACAAAAACACAAAAACCAACCAACCAAACAAAAACCCAGCACACACAACACAAATCCCAAAACACCCAAAAAAATAAAACCCATAAATCTCAGCATTTATAATCAGGCAAGACACTAGTGACTTTTGTATTGCTATGAAGCAAAATAATTGTTAGAAACAGCATCAGGAAGGAGAGAGCTATCTGGACTCTGGGTTTCAGAGGGTCTAGTTCTGTGTAAGAAAACCATAGGTGTGGGAGCATGTAGTGAAAGGGCTAGACTAACTTTGTAACCTGTATGTCTTCTAAAGCCTATAGTTTTGAGTTTTAGGTTCAGGTTAAGCTAAAGCCTCTTAGTACCTTTCCAGAGAATGGAAAAATGTGACCCTATCTGTGAGGACAGATAGAAAAAAAGTGAGCAAGCAATGACCTTCACTCAGCAAAAAGAAGGACCAGACCCTTGTCTTTGAGATAGTGTTTCTTAGCAACCAACCCAGACTTCTGAGTAGCTCCTGACATCCAGCCAAAAGTCCGAAGCCCCTAATCTTTAAGGATGAGCTAACTACCCCCACCTTCAATTGCAGCTGCATCCACACTTGGCATGACTGGCCAAGCTTGAACACCTAAGACTAACCAATTATCTTACTTTATAATTTCCTCATCCAATCCTAAATTGCCAAAACTGCAACTTCAAATTTCCCGCAATTTTTCTTTTAAAAACCTAACTAAAATGTTCAATCCCCATCCTGAAAGGCAAAGAGGATGGACATCAGAAGAAAAAGAAAATAGGAAACAACCTCGGAACCTGCTACAGAGGGCCTCTGAAACCCAGAAGAAAACAGGAAACAACCTTGGAACCTGCCACAGAGGGCCTCTGCAGTATAGACTATCAAAGCAGATGCTGAGCCTGATGGACAACTGATGGGCAGAGTGAATGGAATTTTATGTAAGAAGTGGGAAATAGTAAGAGCTGGAGGGGACCGGAACTCCACAAGCAGAGCAACAGAACAAGATAATTTGAACATAGGGAACTTCCCAGAGACTCATACTCCAACCAAGGACTATTCGTGGAGATAACCCAGAACCCCTGCACAGATGTAGCCCATGGCAGTTCAGTGTCCAAGTGGGTTACATAGTAATGGAAAGAGGGACTGCCTCTGACATAATCTGATCGGCCTGCTCTTTGATCACCTCCCCCTAAGGGGGGAGCAGCCTTACCAGGCCACGGTAGAGGACAATGCAGCCACTTTTGATGAGAACTGATAGACTAAGATCAGAAAGGAGAGGAGAACCTCCCCTATCAGTGGACTTGGGGAGTGACATGCATGCAGAAAGGGGAGGGAGGGTGGGATTGGGAGGGGAGGAGGGAGGAGCTTATGGGGGGATACAAAATGAATAAAGTGTAATTAATAAAAAAAATTTAAAAACAAACAAACAAACAAACAAAACCTAAAGGTTTTTTGTCTTCTGGTGCCACTCTTTGCTGGCCGGCAGGGG